GGGGAGCCACAACAATAATTATGGACATGCCGGCCTTCATCAGCGGATAAAGCTTTCACCGATATCATGTTTTAAAGCCCGGCCGAGCCCAGTCGCCTGCCCGGCTCGGCAGCAGTGGGAACCGCGCGCACGCTTCCCCAGAAGGGCCATCATATAATTTCGAAAACGAAATCCCCATTCCTCGCTCCTGTCGATTATTGTCCTTTCCGATCAATACATCTCTGCGTCTCTCTTTCTCCCTATCTCTCTACACCTATACACACTCACCAAACCTCGTAAAGCCACCTCCCCCCCCCCACTTCTTTCCCCTTCAGCTCCGACTGCCTCGCAACGCTCTCGCCAACACCACCGCGTTGATTACAATGGAAGCCAATAACGAGAAATACTCGGCCAAAGTTCTTAAATTAAGCCCCTGACCCTTTTCCCGTCCGCACTTTGCTACTGCTGCCGCCGCTGCCCGTTGCCTCGCGAGGCAGGGGGGGAAGGTGTGCAAGTGGAGTGTATGTGGGGCGGGGAGTGACAGAGGAGAGGGGATAAAGTGTGTCGTGGCCGCCATCACCAAGTGCAGCGGTGACGTGAGCAGAGGCGCCGCTTGCAACGGCTCAAGCTCGTGCTCGCGATGGCATGCATAGAAAATTCCCATATGGTAGTTCCCCGCTTGATTGTGTGGTAAAGCAAATACATCAGTCTCGAAAAAGGAGTTTCTCCCTTATTTTAGGTGGTGTAGGGGAGGTGGGTGGTGGGTCCAACTAACTAAAAAGGTCTGCGCCACTAACATAAAACGAAAAGCGTTGTAACACAGCAGGTAGCTCGGGGCGATCCGGTATCAGGGGGCCTATCGGTAGTAGCAGAGTGATTACTTTAAAATGATGGAGAAGAGAGAGCAAGAGGAGGGAAGAGGGGGGGGGGGGGAGCGCACCCGTGTTCGTTGGTATAATCCGCGGCCGCTGTTGTTGCGACGGCCCCGGGTAGAAATGGGGAACGGTGGTCAATCCAGATCCGGCGTGGAGCGGGGTGAGGGTGAGGCGGTGCGGGGCGAGCGGGGACGAGGTGGGAGGGATGGGGGCCCGGTGCAGAAATGAATTAGGATTATATACGCACCCGCCGTCATAAACTCGTGGCAGCAGCTTCAATAATAACGAGAATTATTATTATTATTATTACGATTCGGTCGCAACAACGCGGAAATTGAGTTTCGCGCGTCACGCCGAACAGCAGGATAACAGAGGGTGGGAGGGAGAGAGAGCGAGACGGGGAGAGCCGAGTGCGACCGGCCGCGAAATAACCAGGTCTTGTCGTTTTGGACCAGCGCGGCTTGGCGCACGGCATGGTGTGTGTGTGTGTGTGTGGGCGGATTCGTTCCCGAATAAAGCGAGAGCCAGCAGAAAGTTGTTATTGTGTGCTGCCAATCTGAGCACCCACGCCCTGGCACCCGTCACTGCTTGTCACGAGGAGCCCGTGCTAAAAGGCCAGCAGAACACCGGCGTAGGTGTACAGGCACCCCAACTTACACTCTGTCCCACTGGAGGGGCGAGGATGAGCCAACTCATGCTGTGAATGTGCGGTACACCGCGACGTTCTGGGTAGTGAGGCAGGGGAGTGAGCGAATGGATAAATGTGTGGTGACCCTGACACGGTAAAAAAAATCTCGGTGTGTGGGATTTCCATACATTACTACCGAAAGGAATGTGTCGGCTAATGTTATTTGCGTAGACGTCTGCGTCCTCGGATATTTTTTTAATTTTTTTTTAGCGCTGCCGTATTCTTGTCGCTAGTTTCGGACAGTGCAGCATGAAGGCTCTCTCCTTTCATTACATTAGCCACAGCGTGAGGATAGGCGGGGCAGGGCGGGGCGGGGCAGGCCAGAGCAGGGCAGAGCAGGGCAGAGCAGGGCAGAGCAGGGCAGAGCAGGGCAGAGCAGGGCGGGGACAGAGCAGCGCCACGACGGGGGCAACCACGCGCGAGGAGGAGCGGCCTGGACCCGCCCCTGCTAGGGAACTGCTCCCGCGTCCTCTGCGCGACGGGGGGTCGGTTCGGTGAGAGGTGCCGACAGCGCCGGGGCAGGGGCGGGGCTGGCGACCATGAGGCCCTCCTGACATCCGAGAAGGGTCGGGACGGGTCGGGCCGCGGCAAGCGACTTAGTGTCGCGGGCTTCGTCACAGTTTCGCCAGCAGCAAACCCCTTCCCCCTCACCCCCTACTCCATCCCCTCCTGGTGGTAACCAGGACTTCAGTACTTAGAGGAGAGGCCTGGCCGCCAACCCCTCT